ACACAAGCTCATTTCATAATTTCTGTATTATCTGAAGGGAAGAAAAATATACTAACCTATGTATGGTATACAAGTTTGCAAGCTCAGTGTGACTTAAAGGACAGCATTAAAAATACGTAATTGCTTTAAAATAACACCCTTGCAGGATGCCTTAACTTAAACATAAAGTGGTGCACTTGTAAATTGTACTCCCACAAATATGAATATAGATATTGGGGTCTACTCATTTACAAAAAAACTGAAAAAGCACAACAGAAATTGTTAATAAAAAAAAAGTATTTTACAAAAAATATGAATAAATAAACAATGTCCCATGATGTAATTACCATGTCAAGCAGATCATCCAACAATGCAGATCTAGTGTCAATTTTGATGCAAATGGCAGGTTCCGAGCAGGTAGCTGAATGTCAATAACCTGGCTTGGGATGCAGGATGACATCATTGGCTACATATGGTCATGATGACATTTTGTCAATGATATCACACCTGATATCTACCTGTTTACTATGTGTAAAAAAGCCAGCAGACTGGAAGTTGTCATTTAGTGGCAGTAGGGATATTTTCCTTAAATGAATGATTTCTGGATGCAGTGGACAAAGGTTTGGACATGTGTGTGAAGTGGCCAAATCTGTACACTTAGCTTTCCCATTTTTATAAACTGCGAACAAGCTGGGTTCAGGATAAACTCATGGTCGATCCGAGCTCCTCCCTACTCCGAAGAAGGTGGGGGGAATCCTTTGTTTCATTTAAAAAAAAACAAAAAAAACATGAAAGTGTTGAACGAGTATTAAAAATGCAGGTTCAGCTCTCTGAATAGAGAAAAAATATCAACAGTTTCTAAGATAGAAGCACATTAATATACACATTCCTGCATTCTAAATCAGGAAATAGTTTAAACATCATAAAGCAAAAAAATGGGCAAATCCTGGATGCATTTCATAATGAATCTACATTTACTGATTGATAAATACAGGGTAAACAGTGCAGTAATCATTTTCCCAATGAAGAACAGATGTGGGTGAATATGGGCTAATGACTTTTTTCACTCTGCTAATATAAAGTGAATCTCCCTTGATAATGGGTGAAAACCACTATGATAAAAGGGCAGAATGGACATGATCAAATACTGTATATTCACAAACAACAGGTTAGGTAAATTGATCATCAAATCAATGATAAATAGATCTTTACATTTTCCAATTTGGAAAGTCAATAGGGAATAAATACTGTAGTTCCGTAAAGCACTGTAGTTGGTTTCTAAGAATGAGTGAGTGGATTATCTATGACACAAATACGTCATAAAATGCATTGGAAAAGTTAAATTTGGACACAGTTACTTGATAGGTTTTGTTCTGAAAGTAGTATGTGAAGCAATAAAGTAAAAAACACAACTTCTTTATATAATTCTGTCTTCAGTTCCTGAGGATTTCTATGATGAACTCCAGCAATACACCTTGCAAGGTTTCAGAGTTATTGGCCTGGCATTTAAGACAATACAACAAACTAAAGATCTGAGCACAGAGAGTTACACAAGGTAAGACATTTTGAAATTTGAAACATTTATTATGTTTTTCTGCTATTGCTATTGTGTAATGTTTTATGAGAATTTCAAACATTAAGGTATATAATGTCTACACTACCAGCTGAATAACTATGTGAGTCACATTCTGAAATGAACATCACAATTAATTTTAATTTAAATGATATATTTAAATATAAAATCTCAGATACAATATAATTATTATTATACAGGATTTATATAGCACCAACAGTTTGCACAGTGCTTTACAATATAAGAGAGACAGTACAATTACAATACATTTAGTACAGAAGGAATATGAGGGCCCTTCTCGTGGAGCTTACAATATAAAGGAAGGTGGAGGTGATACAAAATATGATAGCTGTGGGGGATGATCTGGTGGAGGTGATTCAAGTACAGTTCTTAAGTAGGAGGTGGGTAGGCTTCCCTGAATGTGAGTTTTCAAAGATCGCCAAAGGCAGACAGGGTGGGGGCTGACCGGACATACTGTGGTAGGGAGTTCCAGAGGATGGGAGAGGCCCTGGAGAAGTCCTGGAGGCCAGTGAGGGAGGAAGTGATGAGAGATCTAGAGAGGAAGATGTCTTGGGAGGAGCGGAGTGGGCGATTTGGGCAATATCTGTGGATGAGGTTGACGATGTAGCTATGGACAGTGTTGTGGTAAACTGTGGTTAGTATTTTGAATTTCATACATTGGGTTAGTAGAAGCCAAGAAGAGACTGGCAGAAAGCGGCAGCAGTCACTGATCGGTTGGTAAGGTGTATGAGTCTAGCACCAACATTCAGAATAGACTGAAGGGGGATAACCTGTGTAACAGTAGACCAGTGAGGAGGGAGTTGCAGTAATCAAGGCGGGATATAACCAAGGCGTGGATAAGTTGTTTTGTGGTGTCATTGGTCAGAAAGGGGCAGATTTTGGAAATGTTCCGGAGGTTGAGGTGGCAGGATTTAGCCAGTGATTGGATGTAGGGCCCAAAGGAGAGGTCAAAGTCTAGGATGACACCTAACACCCTGGCATGAGGGGAAGGACCAATGGTTGTACTGTTGATCTTAATGGTAAAGTCATGAGTGGGGGGATTGAGGGGGAGGAAATATTACAAACTTGTGTTTGGAAAGATTGAGTTTAAGGTAGTGATGTGACATCCATGCTGATATGTCACTTAGTAGATTTGTGATACGTGAGGAGATTGAGGGGGTGAGCTGGGGAGTGGAGAGATAGATATGGGTGTCATCAGCATAAAGGTGGTATTGGAAGCCATAGGAGGTTATCAATTGGCCCAGGGAGGAGGTGTAGAGAGAGTAAAGGAGGGGCTCAAGGACAGAACCTTGGGGTACCCCAATGGAAAGAGGGAGAGGAGCGGAGTAGGAGGAGTTTAATGTGAAGCTGAAAGTGCGCTGAGATATATAATATGATATACTGTATATACAGTCGGTGGGTGGAAGAAGAAATAGTTTGAATCCATGGGCATACTATAAGTTGGAATATTTCCTGCACTTTGGTTCATTTATGTTTATATTTTCTGACAATTTTTGGACTTCGGTTTTATTCACTTAAGATTATTTCAGTCACACTTGTTTCAGCACTGGGTGCATAGATTTAGTTTAATTTTAGTGTGTGTTAATATTATTTATGATTACCATGCCTCCTCAGATTGGAAATTATTTCTAATTTATATATACAATATTTACTAAAACAAAAAATATTACTGGATACTAAGTATCATCTATGCTCAAGGTTTACCCATTCGAGTGCACCCGTGCCAAAACTTTAGACATTATTTACATTTTCTTAACAAGCATTAAAAGAGCTTAACGCTCGTTCACACTGCCATGGCTTGGGATCTGACATGTGAGATACCAAGTTGCATAACATGTGAAATCCTGTGTTAGCCAATGAGAGCTGTCTTAATTACTGAAGCCACTCCGACTTTAGAAAAGGTTCCTGTACTACTTCAAGGCGACTTCTATTCGACTTGTGCCCATAGACTTTAATGGAAGTCGCCTCTAAGTCAGATCCTCCATCTATATTGATGTGATTTGGATCCGACATTACAGGAAGATTACCCAGGTATTCCCTGAAAGTTGCTTCAGAGTTGTTTCAGAGTTGCTTCAAAGTCACTCCGAAGTAGTACTCAAGTTGCCTGGCAAAGTCGCTCTGTAATTTGCGTAATTTTCAGGTCGCAGTAGTGTAAACTAAGACTAAAAGAAGCCATCTTTGACCTCTCTCTATTACATGTATTCATCAAACTCCTCAAAAATCACAACAAATAAATTCTAGAGTCTGGTATCAGTCCATTTCTAACAGCTTAGAAACTACAGTGGTTTCTTTACATTAGAGGGCTGGTAGACTGCATATATTCTGTACACATAGAAAATAACTACGATTTTAATGGCTGTGCTGTGAACATTGAAAATGATTTTTTCTGCAATGTGTATAAGTACAGAGGTGAATAAGGGTTTATTTTAAAGTGCTTTTCAGTTTTATTGACATTGACTAATGTCTCCATGTATATACATATACTTTGATTCAAAAAAATATTTATTTTGTCTTTTTTTTTTTTTTTTTTTTAACAAGGGAGGAGGTAGAGTCTGAGCTTCTTTTCATTGGTCTTCTGATATTAGAAAATCGTTTGAAACCAGAGACAGCTCCTGTATTATGTGAGATGAACAATGCCTTAATCAGGACTGTGATGATCACAGGTATATGCAGTATCATGTCTCTCTGGATTTACCACAAACAACCTACCAGTTAACAATAAATTAAATCTAAAACATAATATATTATTTTTTTGAAGATGTTTAAAATTGTATGTATTCCCTTTTGAACTTGTTTCAAAAATATTTCTGATGTTCAATGCATATTCAGTATGTGCTAGGTAAATAGGATTAGTGTTATAAATATTAAAGTATTAGTAAATAAAAAAAATGAGGAATGTCGTTCTGAGACTGTCATGTGACTACCTATAAAAAAATCTAAAATAAGATATTTACAGTGTTGTTTTATAACTTTCATCTAGGGGGCATGTTTAGAGAATGTGTAATCTTTGCAGTTATATATATATATATATATATATATATATATATATATATAAATAAATATATATATATATATATATATATATATATATTATAGTATGAATTTATATATATATACTTTAATCAATTGCCTACCAGGCACTTATACCTCCTTCGTGCCCAGGCCAATTTTCAGCTTTCAGCACTGTCTCACTTTAAATGACAATTGTGCAGTCATGCAACACTGTACCCGTATGAAAATTTTATCATGTTTTTCACACACATAGAGCTTTCTTTTGGTGGCATTTAATTGGCACTGTTTTTTTTATTTTTTGCAGTATAAACAAAAAAAGAGCAAAAAATTAAAAAAAAGAGTTTCTCTGTTTCTGTTATAAAATTTTGCAAACAGGTAATTTTTCTCCTTCACTGAGGTGCATTGATGAGGCTGCACTGATAGGCAGCACTGATGGGCACTTATAGGTTGCATTGATGAGGTGGCACTGATGAGGCGGCACTGGTGAGCATTGATGAGGAGACACTGATGATGCTGCACTGATATGCAGCAATGATGGTCACTGATAGGCGGCACTGATGTTCACTGATAGGCGACATCGATGGGCGACACTGATGGTTGGAGCTGACTGATGACACTGACTGGCAGCACTGACTGATGGAACTGATTGGAGGCACTGCTAGGCAATGATGGGCAGTATTGATGGGCGGCAGTGCTGGGCACTGATGGGTGCAACTTCTGGGTAGCACTGATGGGTGGCACTGCTGAGGAGGACTGATTCATTTTGTTATTTGTCTAACCATAGCCTACTGAAAAGTGAATGGTTGCTTTATGATAAATCATTTATCATATATGCAGTGATGAGCCAAACACCCCCCCTGTTCGCGGCTGAACATTTGAATGTAACGAAAGTTCAATTGTGAACTTCAAATTTAATGCAAGTCTATGGGACTATGGGACTCGAACTATTGGCCATAAAAGGGTATGGGGACTCAGGTACTACCCTAAGGGACATGAATCAGTGAAAAACAAATTCCCACAGTACCATTTTTAAAGAGGCATTCATTTTTCTTTGCTGAAAGTAATAGAAAAAAGAAAAATGCATTTAAATATCATGCCTTGGGGGATCCCCTTAAACTACCTGCAAAGTTGCACATCTGTACAATATATAGAACCTCCTACAGCAGGACTGACTTTTTTTTTTTGAATTACATTTTTAGTTTAAAAAAACAGCATGCCCCCCCAATCCATACCAGACCCTTAAGGTCCAGTAGGAAGGTTAGGAGGGACCCCACAGTATTTTTTTTATAAAGTGCGTGAGGTTCCCCTTGAAAGCCCTTTAGGCCTGGTAGGACTTTTAAGAGGAACCCCACCTCCAAAAAATGAGGGGAAAAAATTAGTGGGGTTCCCTCAAAAATCCATACCAGACTCTTGATCTGATCAGGTCAAGAAAGGGGGGGGATGAGCGAACACCCCCTCTTGAACCATACCAGGACCCATGCCCTCAACATGGGGGGTTGCCCTCAACATGTTGTGGGGATCTGCGGGGATCCGCGGGGGTCAACTTATTGGAATCTGGAAACACCCTTTTAACAAGGGGGCCCCCAGATCCCTCATGTGAATGAGTATAAGGTACATAGTACCCCTTCACCAAAAAAGTGTAAAATGTTAATAAAAACAACAGTTTTTGCAAGTCCTTTATATATATATATATATATATATATATATATATATATAAAAAATGGTTCCATCATTGTAATCCATCCTCAATCATGGTGTCCAGCATTGGCATGGCAATGCCGACTTGCTGAAATGAAAAAAACCTGACACCCGCTGACCCGTCCGCACCCGCTGAGCACTCACACAACTGCACAGAGCTATGGGTAATGTCACCGTTAGCTCAGCCTAATTGTGCTGTGATTGGCCAAAGCATTGCACCTGACCTGTGGTCATGTGCATTGCTTTGGCCAATCACAATGCAATGTCAGAGCATAGCGCATTGCGTAATACGGCGGGCAAATAGTCCACCAAACGCCCTTACCATTCGTGTGTTCGTTCGATGTTCGACTCATCAAGCCAATCGCTACATATATGTTTTGCTCTTTCTGTTGATTTACTGTGTTTGACCAGTTTTATTTTAAATATAATAATATTTTCTGAAACCAAATAACTTCATATTTCTGCCATAGGTGATAATCTTCAAACAGCAATTACTGTAGCACAAAACTCTGGCATTGTACAAAAGAATGGTAGAGTTATCCTAATTGAAGCATGTGAGCCGATGAAAGGCTATCCTGCCTCCATTACATGGAAACAAATGGAAGGTCGTAATGGCGAAAGCATTGAAAATACAGTAAGATATTGTCACTTTTCCTTAAGAAAAAAAGTTTAATTACATTTTTAAAAAAAATTACAGAACAGCAAAGCAGACATAATATACGTATACAAAACTATGGGGTTGATTTACTAAAGGCAAACAGGCTGTTAACTTTTCAAAAGCATTTTCCTTCGGCTTGGTGAAGGTGAAGAAGCCCTGCTGACTTCGTTCATTAAGTCATGTGAAGTGAAAATACTGTTTTATTTTATTTTAATTGCACATGACTGGGTATACTTTGCAAAGTAATTTTTTTTTTTACATTCACTAAGCGAAGAGAAAATATTCTTGCATAGTGAACGGCCTATTTACTTATTCACCTATCAACCCCTGTGACTTTTAATCATCGCATCGTTTTTATATCACATGATGATTTCCTAATGTGTACCAAGCCACTGGGCAAATACAAGAAAAATTATCTTCTAATATATTGCAAAATATTAAATCTATGTTGGGATGTGTCTAGCTTAGTATGATATGCAATTTTAATTTATTTGATTATGGGCAGTGTCAGTGCTATCATTATAGAAGTATGTGACAATAAAGGGAGGGGGGTTTAATTATTGGTGTCTTCAACAAGCTTAACTGGAGTTAATGAAGTGAGGGAACTTGTCTTTGGTTTGATATTAGAACAAGCACTGAAATTTCATATACAAAAACTCACTTTTAGATTTCAAAAGGACAACTTTTAATGGAATGGGTGTTTTTCTAGAAAATTAATTAAAAGGTTGGAGCTTCTCTACAGGGGCCACTAATTAGTGTACTCTACCATCATAGAGACAACAAGTTTATATGTCAGTCAAATTAGTAAGAATTAACAGAAGAGAAATCCATTATGGTTCACTAAAGAGGTAAATAGGATAGTAAAGGAGATAACATCAGGAGATATAGGAGATAAAAGGAATCAGAGAGATAGAGGAGTAAAAAAAAGACAAACAGCTTTCCAATACTTCAATATGGATTTTGTATCGCCATGCTTTAATTTTGTGACTTTTTTTTCTGTTGCGGCATAGAAGGTATTAGAAGAATGTATCTGTCCTTGGTCTCAATAAGGTTGAGAACCTCTGGTCTAGAGGAAAGATGGGGAAGGTTGACATGATTGAAATCTTTAAATACGAAAAGAATTTGAATAAGTTTAGAAAGGCAGAATTTTTAATATGAAGGAAAGATCAAGAACATGGGGAAATGACCTTAAACTAGCAAGAGGAACTTTCAAAATTAACCTTTGTGCAATGACTCAGATCCTTCACATCACAGCCCCCTCCTCTTATATTACAATCCCTCTTCTAAATCAGTGTCCTCAGTCCCCCTGGCATTGTAGACATGTGCAGTTTGTTTTGTTCTGAATCAAAATTCGGACAAATTTCCATTATTTGAAGATTCGGATGTATCCGAATTCTGAATTACAATAGTAACGAATTTAAACAAATCTGAAAAATAACGAAACAAAATTTGTCAAATCGATTTAAATTCGAAAACAAATTCCAATTCGAAAACAAATTCAAAAACCAATTTGAATTTGAAAACAAGGATAGAATAAAATAGAACAGAAAATAAAGAATTATAAAATAATAGAATAGAAAATATAAGAATAGAATAGAAAAAATAATAAAAAATAAAGTAAAACAGAACAAAATAGAATAGAAAATAAAGGAATAGAAAATAATAGAATCCATTAGAATAGAATAGAAAAGAGTGTAATAGAAAATCAAAGAATAGAATACAAAACAATACAAAAGATTAGAATAGAAAATCAAAGAATAGAATAGAAAAAATAGAATCAATTAGAATAGAATAGAAAAAAATCGAATAATAGAATAGAAAATAATAGAGTAAAACAGAGCAACATAGAACAGAAAATAAAGGAATAGAATAGAATCAGTTAGAATAGAAAAGAAAAGATTACATTAGTATTGCAATTGTGACCCTTCCCCATGCTCCAGGGGGCCTGTGTGGCCCCCCTGTGCACCTGAATAGAGGGGCGGTGGCATGCAGAGAAACCGTTTCCTCCATGCAGTCGCCGAATGCTGCTTCCCCTCCTTTCCATCCTGCAGACATTCAAAGGCTGCAGGAGGGAAATGGAGGGCATCAGTTCCTCTACTTGCCACCCCTGCTGCTCCGGGCCCCTCCTTGCCCCCCACAGCGCTGTCAGATTTCCCCCTTTCACCTCCCACTGGCTTCTTTGGGGGATACTGTCAGGATGGAGAGCTGGGAAGGGGCCTGTAAATGCCATATTTACTTGCCCCTTATTTGTCTTAAGACTGTGTCCTTAATCTTCTTTCTTTGTCTCAAAGGTGAAAGACCAGAGGTCTGTGTAGACCCCTGATATTTCACCAACCCCCCTCCCCAACGGGGCTCATAAAAAGTAAAAATTAAAAAAATAATAAAACATAAAATTGTAATAAATAAATAAAATAAAATGGTCAAAAATAATTAAAAAAAAATAAAATAACAAACATAAAAAACTACTGGCACCAGAGGCGGAACTACCAGGGTCGCAAACATCGAGACCAGGACCTTAACAGGCAACAGGAACTGTAAAGGGTCCCACAATGGGAATAAAGGGCCCTGGGATCAGTGGGATGGGCTCTGATCGGGGACCAGGGGGACCCTTCACATTTTTTTGCCCCGGGACCCTGAAGGTTCTAATTACACCTCTGCCTGAACCCTCCTTCACATCAATGACCCCCCAAAAGTAGTGTCCTCTGCTCCCATGCACATCACCCTTCACAGTCATGTGCTCCTCTTCCCCCTTTTACCCCTCCCACAGTAATGTCCTGCTCTGCCTTGCTTCACCACCTACAGTAATGCTACCCTCTGCCCCCTTTAGTCCCCCACATCATTGTCCTCATCTCCCCACTTCACCCCCCCATAGTAATGTCCTCTTCTGCCCCTTTCACCCCACCCCCACAGTAATGCCCTCCTCTTCCCCCTTCACCCCAACAGCAATGTCCCCCCATTCCCTCCCTTCACCCCCAACAGTAATGTCCTCCTCTGTCACTCTTCACCCCCCCCCACATCAGTGTCCTCCTCTGCACCTTCCCCCCACTACAGTAAAGACCTCATCTGTCCCCTTCACTCCCATACAGTAATGTCCTCCTCTGCCCCCTTCATGCCCCCCCCCACAGTAATGTCCTACTCTGCCCCCGTTCACCTCCACATTAATTTCCTCCTCTGCCCCCTTCACCCCCCACATTATTGTCCTTTTCTGCTCCTCTTCACCCCAACAGTAATGTCCTTTGTTTCTCTTGACCGTCCCCCCATATCAGTGTCCTCCTCTGCCCACCTTCACACCCACAGTAATGTCCTAACATTGCCCCCTTCACATCACTACCTGTCGCCCCATCCTTCACAGCTGTGTCCTAGTCGCTTAACTCTCTTACCTCACAGTGGCACACAGCAAAATAGAGGGCAGGAGGCACAGCAGCAGTGGGTGGAGAGGGGGCTAACTTTTCATATTAGTAAGCTGGTGATTGGTTGCTAGGACGCAATCCCCTGCCAGTTAACTTAAAAAGTTAACTTGGGCAGGTCCTGCTCTCACCCTCTATCAAGTGCTACTGTGCCTTCTGCCCGCCAATCTGCCAATCTGCTGTGAAAATTAAAGTGGTGGAGGCTTGGGGAAAGAGCTGAATCCTAAGTGGTGACCACTGCGGTCCAGATGGGACAGTGACTCTGTCCAAATCTAGACCACGGTCCACCATTTAATGATGCCTGATCTATACTAAGACAAAAAGGTTACAAAAAGTCAAAACAACAAAAACAAGAAAACACCAAAATGGAGCAGAGTCAATGGACAGCTTGGTCTGTTTCTTCTCTGACTCTTTTATGTTTCAGTATGTTAGGCCTATTTATGGCAAAGACTGAAATGAACTACCTTTGTTTTGTAAGATGCAAATCTGTTTGTGAATAACGGCAACAGCTGGTCAGCGAGTTTAGATAAGTAGCATTTTCTTTATAATATTGTAGTAGATACAGTATGTATGGGGAAAAATAATCAGATCTGGTTCTATTCTAGGGTCATCAACAGACAGTTTTGATGATCTTGTGTAAAACTCATCTTGACTGTGAAGGACTGGTCACTCAAAAAAAATATATATATAGGTATAGGTGGAGCCCAACAGGCTGAGTTATCCCCTAGCTTTTTAGATGTCTTTGAATAACCAATTATGTCTAAGGATTTTTTTTCTAGAACATGATTGAGTATTTAAAGTGTATCTATGGTCAAAATGTAAAATCATATATTTATCACTGTATTGTATTTCGATTATTTATAGTCTACTGTTATAATTTGAATGATTTAAAAAAAATGTAAACTTACTTTGTGAAGATCCCTACATATTTAATTCTGTGACACCTATTTACTATGCCCTCTGAAAAGACACTGATGTGTCAAGCATTTCACAGAGCCTGCCTTTTGAACTACATAGGTTTTAAGGGGAGGAGTTGCAGGAGGTGGAGTCAGTACAGGAATCACAGCTTGCAGGCAGCAAGGTATGTAGTCTTTAGAAACTGAAAGTGAACAGCATTGGGGAACCTGCAAAGCAGGGAATCCAGGAAGTTGTGGAAAGTGATGGCCAGCAGACAGGAAGAAGATGCAACATGAAATTAGATTTTTCATGTAAGCTCATACTGGATTGTCAAAAATAACTATTGTTTATATTGATATTACAATGCTGATGTTATAAATTGAAAGTGCATGTTGTGAAAATAGATTTTCTTTAAAGTTAACACAGCTTCAGCTTATTCACTAACATTCACTTTGCTAAGTGAACAGCCTCACTTTGGGCATCTCAAATTCTTTAGAGCAGATATTGAATATCTGTCTTCTAGAAAACAAAATCTACACTTTATAAAACAAGCATGAAACTAAACAAAGCAAGTACAAAACAAAACATAACAAACCTGATTGTTCATAATTGATATAATTCAACTTGTTGTTAATTGTAAATAAAGTTTCCTCACATTCTACCACCAGGCAATTGACATTGAGAAGCACCATGAAAAGACCAACTTCTGTTTTGCCATGACTGGGAAAGCTTATCAAGTCATAGCACAATATTTCTACAACCTACTGCCAAAGGTATTAGACATAATAGGCTTCATATGTTTCTATAAATGAACACATACATACAAATAATGTAGCCTGACTAGAAAAATAACAAAACTAACATTGCACTACTGTTTGAGGTCTGCATTAACACTTTATATCTACTATTTCATTTCAAAATAGCTCTTGTTGGATGGTGCCATTTTTGCAAGGATGTCCCCTGGACAGAAATCTAATCTCATAGAAGAATTTCAGAAAATGGAGTAAGTTCCAGCCTATTGTTTTTCTAGACATAAAAAGGATGTTGGATGCTTGTTTTCACTTGATGTTTTTTATCCCTTTTCTGTCCAGCCCCGGCATTCCTTTAATAGGGTCTTTACATCTGGAGAGGAGGGCGTTTGATTATGTGACCACTGTATTTGGCTGTCATAGTGGTCACGTGATTCTTCACAGTGGTCCACCCAATTACCGATTGTTATTGGGTTGTCTATGACAGCTCAGTTTCTGAGCTGGTAATGCACATTAAGTTTGCTTTCAGCACGGCTACATTGGCTGCCCATTGATGCAAATGTGCAGTATATGGGCATTAAAGCCCACCCTTTTGCTGCCACACAGATGTGTGGGTGGGCAGCAACATGCTAAACCTGTGTTGAAATAAAAAAGGTATCTATCTCCTGCACTTAGAAAAAGAATCAATTTTCTGGATTAACCACTTGCCTACAGGACACTTTCACCCCCTTCCTGCCCAGGCCAATTTTCAGCTTTCAGTGCTGTCACACTTTGAATGACTACTGATCATGCAACACTGTACACATATGAAATTTTGATAATTTTTTTGAGACATATAGAGATTTCTTTTGGTGGTATTTAATCATTACTGGGTTTTTCTTTTTTGCTAAAAAAAAAATGAAAAAAGGCCACTGATGTGCACTGATGAGACTGCACTGATGGGTACTGATGAGGCATCAATGATGAGGCTGCATTGACATGCAGCACTGATGGGTACTGGTAGGTAGCACTGATGGGCACCAATTGGTGGCATTGAAGGTCACTGATAGGTGGCACTGACTGGCGGCACTGAAGGGCAATGACTGGCGGCACTGATAGACACTAACTGGAGGTACTGATGGACACTGACTGGCAGCACTGATCATCACTGACTGATGGCATTGATGGACACTGACTGGTGGCACTGATAGACACTGGCAGCACTGATGGACACTAGCAGCACTGATGGATACTGACTGGCAGCACTGATGGACACTGTTGAGACTGCACTGATGGGCACTGTTGGGGCTGGGGGCTGCACTGGACTGCCTTTGATTTTTTAAAAGCATTTACCAATTATCAGCTCTCCTCTTTCCTCATGCTCTGAAATTTACATTGTGATCAGCTGTGTCATTGGAATTTCTGATTCAAATGTTGCCCCTAAGCTCACTCTAAATACTTGTGATATCTAGCACAAAAATACATTTTAGATAAAGTACAAAATATGTATTCATGTGGTATTCATAGTTTACCAGCAACTCTTTTTCTTTTGCAGTTACTATGTTGCTATGTGCGGAGATGGAGCCAACGATTGTGGAGTAAGTGTGCAAATAATACAATGTATGTTTGTCATTTTTTACCAATTGTTACACTAGATTTATCAATGTGACAAACTCCTGCGCTCCTACCTAAAAACTAATACCTACCAACAAAGGTAAAGCTGCTACATACAGTCATATACCCATAGACAAAAATTATAAATGAAACACAAATGTTGCATCTCTACTACCATAAAAATTCTTCACACAAAGTGACACAAATAACATAAACACACAATATTAAATAGTTAATAGTTAATATTGTGTGTTTATGTTATTTGTGTCACTAATTTTGCACTGTTTCACTTATCCATTTATGTGTGAAGAATTTTTATGGTAGTAGCGCAGCATCATTTGTGTTTCATTTCATTTACACTAGATGTATGCTAACACTAAATACTGTATATACAGTAAGTCAGTAGTCAAGATATCTACGTGTACTAAGTTCTACATTTTCGAATGTCAAATTAACTCTTTTATAAAATGAGTATAGTCACAGTGCATAATCATTTTATTTATGGCTCAAAGACTATGTGAAGATAATAAAGGGCCAGAAAATTTAAAAATGATATTTTAGATAGGTAGAGCCTGGTTAGACCATTAGGTCCTGGCTTCTTATGCATCTTGTAATCCAACAGAAGGAACTTCCTGCCTAATTCCTGCATCCTTATGTTTGCTCAATCTTACATTACCAAATTGTGACTTTGCACATTTATATTGGTTTATATTTTAGGCTTTAAAAGTAGCACATGCTGGTATATCCCTATCTGAACAAGAGGCTTCTGTCGCTTCTCCATTTACATCACAAATAACTAATATTCAGTGTGTTCCTGAGCTTATTAAGTAAGTTGTTATTTTATCAATTCATTTTGTGAATACATTTTTGTTTTGTTATTGCATATGTTACTAAAAGTATAGCCTACTTAACAGCAAAGCATTTCAGTTAAGGTGTAAGGAGAGGTAGTATACAGCAGTGTAAAGAGAGGTAGGGTTAATGAAGGTATACAGTGATGGTATTGTTATATTGTTGTGTAATCATCACTATACCCGAAGGCATGGATAGCAGTACAAACAAGACAAAAAAGTTCTAATTTTCCCCACTTTATTCAAAACTGCAAAGAACTAGTTATATGATCATTGGTACATTGGTATTCACAATAAATATGTAATAGCTGATTGGTCACCATCGACACAGAGTGTCAATATGATCTTTTCTGGAAGCCCTGCAGAGGGAAAGCGGAGAAAAGCAGGGATTTCAAATTCCCAAATTTGCACCAGCTTTATGGGTACTGACAACGCATGGGGCGCCCGGGCAATAGGGGATCATGGGGCCCCTTTGTCCTTGCCCAAACTCAAAAAAGCCTATGAAAAAGGTACCAGGGGCATCTCATGGGGCCCCCTACTGACCCCGGGCCCTCGGACAGTGCCCGAGTTTCCAAATGGTTAGTCCGCCCCTGGTACTGACAGCTCATCTCCAACGGAGGTAACTACAGCAATTTTTCTGAAAAGATGAACTAAGCCTTTATCCCCAACATTCAGTGAAGTTTAGCCACTCCCACTATTGTGCTGAGGGGGGTGGAAAAAAGAGTGACTAAGGGAGAGAAGGGGAGTGGAGGGTAGCTGAGTACCTGCACCTATACTCTGACATGAAATGCCCTATATTGAGCTATTAATCTAATGCACAGAGGCATATGAGGTGTGACCATTTAATTCCCGGAATAGACTAAACAAATGTCAAACACTGCATTCTTCAAAAGATCAAATTTAAAGACAACATTCTTTCTGATCTTCTGTGAAGATTCAAGGCACCATCTTTTCAGAAATCTTTTAATCATTCTCTAATCCTCTGTAAGAATGTGTTTCCATGTTCATGTTCAATTCTTCTGCCATCACTCGATTTTTGATCTGAAGATATGAGGGTTCACACAATGTACACAGCATACGTCCTTTGTGTTTTTGGCTGCTCATTTCTTGCATCATGAACATCTTCCCACCCCTCCTTACACCAGCTAAACCATTCAAAAACACTTGATTTCCTCATGGAATGTTCACCATAACCCTGTTGTAAAAGAGCTGAAGTTTCACTTTTGCCAATTTTCACACAAAACTTTATGGCAATCCACTGCTCCAGATTCCTGTTACTCATTTTCCACCAACAACACAACACACACACGTGTTATTTCTTCTACTACTGTCACTGTAAATGAAAATCTGTAGCTACACTGTGTCACTTAAGAATCCATATCAGCTAAGGAAGTTCTTTGTACACAGAAAAGTCCTCAAGGCCAGAGATTGGTCTCCCAATTGCTTCCTTTTTAAATTGGCATTACCCAACCAGTGCATTTATAAAACTCTGACCACCTGATTGACCATTTTTTTAATTTACATCCTTGCATGTGCATTTAATAAACTTCTGACATAACTTTTGTTGATTTCTGATTGCAAAGGGAAGGTCGAGCGGCTCTTGTGAGTTCATTTGCTGTCTTCAAATATGTCACTCTATACGCTATGATACAGTTTGTTTGTCTGCTCCTGCTCTACTGGGTAAGTAATTCTAGATTTATTGTTATGCATAGTGCAGAAATAATGTATTGCTGATTAATGAACTGTACATTATAATATATGAATGTTCTATAAGCAGTGTGATCAGCTAAATGCTATTAATGAAAATTCTTAAAGACAAAATCAATTTCCTAAAGATGTGCTTTTGTAAAAGAGTAAAACAGTGTCAAAGAGCCCTATAAAAAAAAGTGCTTCAGTGCCAGAAAAAAATGTCTGTGTATATTGTTCATTTGTGTTTATCTCCATGGGTAGTGTTATACTAAAGCTCTTTAATCACTTCAGCTCCGGAAGATTTACCCTCCTTCCTGACCAGGCCATTTTTTACGATACGGCGCTGCATCACTTTAACTGAAAATTGCGCGACCATGCAATGCTGTACCCAAATGAAATTTATGTCCTTTTTTCCCACAAATAGAGCTTTCTTTTGGTGGTATTTGATCACCTCTGCAATTTCTACTTTTTGCGCTATAAAAAAAAAAAAGACTGACAATTTTGAAAAAAAAAAAAATATTTTTTATTTTCTGTTATAAAACATATCCAATAAAAAATTTTAAAAATCATAAATTTAGGCCAAAATATATTCAGCTACATATTTTTGGTAAAAAAAAATCCCAATAAGAGTATATTGATTAGTTTGAAAAAGTTATAGCATCTACAAACTAGGGGAATTTTTAAAGAAAAATGTTTATACTAGTAATAGTGGCGATCAGCAACTTATAGTGGGACTGCAATATTGCAGTGAACATTTTTACACTGACACTTTGTGGGAACCAGTGACACTAATACAGTGATCAGTGCTAAAAATATACACTAATCACTGTACTAATGACACTGGTTGGGAAGGGGTTAACATCTAGGGTGATCAAAGGGCTAAGTGGGTGCTTAGATATGTGCTTGGTGTACACTAGGTTGTACTTTTACTATGGGAAGTGATGGATCGTGTTCTCAGCTCTGCATTGACACACGATCCATGAATGCCCCATGTACCAACAGGGCTGTGCCTAGGTAAACATAGACACAGCTCTGTTCTTCCTCCCTGACCGATGATCTGCAGGTGCCGGCAAGCATCTTTTCGCCAGAAACTTGTAGGTCGGTTTGTGCTGTGACAGTTCACAGCAGAAACGACCCCCCCCCCCCACGTGGCGGAGGTGGAAAATCACATATATGTACATGATTTTGCACAGGAAAGCTGCTTGCCCTGCTATAGTGTGGAGGACACACTGATAATTCTGTTATAGAACCCGCAAAAGTGGGGGCTATGGTTTAGGAGTCTTTTTCTGAACCTATAGCACTTTTACCATTGCTTATTTGATTTATGTTTAAGTTTTTATTCTGTGTTTTCTGCATACCAATAATTAGAATGCGCTATAACTTGCTAATCTCTTGCAGTAAAAGGACAAAAAAAAACCTTACAACTGTTGTATTTTTCAGCAACTGAAGATAGTTGGCCTTTATCAGTATCTCATCCAAGATGTGGGAATTACAATATTGGTAACCCTAACAAGTATGTTTTACATTTACAAATAAGGTCATCATGTTTCTTTTTTCATTTATAAAAAGCAACATTTCATATATAATAAGTATCATATGACAATCTGTTTGTTAATTGAGAAAAAATATTCTATATACCTCAAAGTACATTTTCAAAGAACAGACATGTATTAAAATGGAAGCAAAGGCTAATAAAAGTCTGCTTAAAAATGTTGCCTCCCACCCCCCTCATATCTATGCTGCAATAATAAAGAGTAGCCTATTTTTCAGCTCAGGTGCTGTCAGTTGCTCCAGAAACAGCATCTCCCCTGTGTCAGTAAGCACTCAACAATGCCACGATGTTATCCACTGGCTTCCATTGCCCCTCTGTTGTTTGCGCTCCCTTCCTACTGCTGCAGCAGTCTCTCACTGACATAGGGGAGTCATTGTTTTGCAATTAAGTGACCACTCCCAAGCTGAAAAAAACAGATTCACACTATGTTCTTTTATAGATGCTTTACAGCAAAGGTGGGAGGAGGGAGGCAACATTTTTAAACAGACTTATATTGGCAAATACTTCCACTTTAAAATGGTTTTAAAGCCTAAAAATTTTTTTACCTTAATGTATTCCATGCATTAAGGTACAAAATTTACGTAGCAGTATCACCCTCCCCCCTTACCCTTTATACGTTCTTTACTCAATCCATGGCTATCTTCTCTCCCTGCTTTCACAGGCTTTGCTGAGGCAGTGGGAGCCATTGGCTCCCACTGTTGTCAGTCAAATCTTGAGATCTGAAGAAGAGGAGGTGGGGCCAAGCCATACTGACCATGTCTATGGACGCAGGCAGCATAGCTCAGTATTGAACCTGCACTTGCAAGGGAGGAGCGCCAGCAGGGGACCCGAGAAGAGGAGGTTCGGGTCACCTCTGTCCAGTTCCATTGCATAGAGCAGGTATGTATAGTATGTTTATTCTAAAAATTAAAGCAGAACTCGTAGATAAACAACTAATTACACAGTTTAAATGCATAATTGCAGGTTTGTTGTTTACCTGATAAAGGATTTGTAATTCTTTCATTCAGTAATCTGTGACACTGCATTTCCAGGCAAGTGACACACTTATTTCCTGATTCAGCAATTCAGCCTCCTTAAGTTACATATTATCCAGCTTGTTAAATGGACAATTAATCAACAGCAACAACAATTAATCAGCATCACTATTCAGGAAACAGATCCAGCAGACAGAAAAGTTAAAACAGGAAAAAGCAGAGTAATTTTCCTGGCTATACAAATTCTTTTTCAGATAAAACAGTCAATACATACACATTTCATACAGCATATCTATTTAGATGTTTAGTGCAGTTTCATTTAACCACTTCCCATCCTGCCGCTGTATATAAACAGCCGGACGGATGCAGTGCAGGGGCGGGTTGCCGTTCATAATCCATTTTGGATTGTGCGCACTCCCTGGGACACCGATCGCTGTACGGGACCTCTGTGTGAGGTCCCGATAATGTGATCACTGATTGGCCAATCAGTGATCACATGAATAGGTGTAAGCAAGATTTCACTTCTGACATCATTGCTTACTACATGTGAAATCTGTGAATGATCACAGAGATCACATAGTACAAGGCTATTCACAACAGCCTTGTACCATGTGACAAGCTGTGACCAATCATAGCTCACACAGTATTTCTGCAAGAATGCAGCCAGAGAGAAAGAGAAATAATTGCTTTTACAGCCTTTATGGGTGTAAAAGCAATCAGTGTAAAAAAAGCAATCAATGTAAAAAAAAAAAAATCTTCATCACCCCCAACAAGTAGTACAGTGTCACTATGGTGACACTGTACTGCTAGGGTGACAGTATCTAAAAAAAAAAAAACATAAATAATAATATAAAAAATAAAATAAAAATGTAAAAAAAAAATTTTTTTTTTAATTATAGTTTTTGGTTATAAACTAATTTGGATTATTTTTGTTTACTAAAAAGATAACTGAATACATTTTGGCCAATATTTATGAAGAAAGATTATTTATTTGCAAAATGTTATAAGAAAAACACTTTTTTCAAAATTTTGGGACTTTTTCATTTATATAGCAAAGAAAATAAAAATCCCAGTGGTGAATAAATACCACCAAAATAAAGTTTTATCTGTCTCAAAAATGCTAAAAAAGCATATGGGTACAGTGTTGCATGACCGCGCAATATTGTCATTCAAAGTGCGACAGCACTGAAAGCTGAAAATTGGCCTGGAAAGGAAGGGGGTAAAAGTGTCCAGACATGAAGTGGTTTAAACAATAGCATACTATTGTTGCATGAATCTATAGAGACAAAACACATTTTGAGAGTTAATAAAATTATCTGTGTATACCAGATGTAATAATCTGTGTACCATGTACAGTCTAAGTATTTCTGAGGCAACTA